TAATCCTAGCACTCTGGGAGGCCGAGGCGGGCGGATTGTTTGAGCTCAGGAGTTCGAGACCAGCCTGAGCAAGAGCGAGACCCCGTCTCTACCAAAAATAGAAAGAAATTAATTGGACAACTAAAAATACATAGAAAAAATTAGCCAGGCGTGGTGGCACATGCCTGTAGTCCCAGCTACTCGGGAGGCTGAGGCAGAAGGACTGCCTGATCCCAGGAGTTTGAGGTTGCTGTGAGCTAGGCTGACACCACGGCACTCTAGCCCGGGCAACAGAGTGATACTCTGTCTCAAAAAAAAAAAAAAAAACAAAACTTGCTAAGAGTTGTGGATTCTAGCTTTTGAGATGTAGGTGAGATTTGGGGAATCCCTACCCAAACCCTGACCGGATCACCAGTGTCAGCCACAGAGCCCAGGGCATGGTTGGGCCCTGGGAATGCAGCCAGGCAGCCACCCATGGAGGTATGGGGTGGCTGTGCCTTGTCATGCCTCTGGGGAGGTGGCAGAGGACCTAGGAGAGATTTAGAGCTGAATTCCACACATTCCCCAGAGTGGATTACAGGCCAAGGTCCCTCAGCTAGGGGAAGGCAGAAGGCAGAGCAGACTGACCATCCTCAGCCCATCCGGACAGGGAGAGAGGACAGAGGGCCTGGTGGCCCCACACACACGGCTGTTGACTTCAAACTGCAGAGCGCCCCCCGTGGCATCCTGTGAGCGCCGGTCAGAGCTCAGCACGCTCTTGCTTTAGTGTTTCCTGCGGGCCATCGGCCAGGGTCCTTCGCAGCTGCTTCTCCCTCTTCAAACCCACGATTGTGCCGAGTCCGTATGCTTTGAACCTCTCTGACTTATGCCACAAGCCAGAGAAAAGTCTCAGCTCTTAACGGGCTCACGTGACTAGGTTAGGGACATCTGGACAATCTCCCTTTCGCCACATACAGGGGAAGCACTCAGACCAGGAAGAGCCCATGGGGCTCGTTCCAAGGATTCTACCCGTCACGTCCACCACCTCAGCTTTCTGCCCCTTCGGAATTCTTACTGGTAATTACGATAGAGATGGAAATTTCTCCATCATAACACAAAACTAGGAGCTAAAAGTAGACAAGGAAGGGAGACGCAGCAGCTCCGAGGGAAGGAAAATAGCTGACAGGCTAAGGGGCACCAAGTCTGGGACTGAGAGGAATCTGCAGGCCTTCCTGGGAGTCTGACTTCTGAAAACGATCCTAGGATATGCGAGCTGAGCAGAACGTCTGGAAAGGTCTCCTCGGACGAGGGCCATTTCAAGCCCGGCGAGGCCTCCCTCGGCAGTGAGGGCAGGCCACATTCTTTCACTTGATCTCAGTCCTGCGCCGCCTCAGGACGCAGGAAGGGTGACCCTGGGCTCAGCAGGTGCGTGTGGCGGCAAGTCTGACCTTGCAGAGCTGCTCAGTCGCACCGGCCAACTCCAGTCCACACGGCCCCTGAGCCTCCAAGCCCAGGACTTGGTGGGAAATAAACCCTGATGAAGATACCAGGGTCTTTCAGGTGAGGGGAGCCGTCACTCAAATGTCACCTCCGCATCCGCTGGATTAAAATTGACCCAAACACCCAACACTCCCAAATCCTCCTTCCCGGCTTTAACTTCCTCCATGGCACCTACCACCTTCTAATAAAGCACATCTTTACTTTTTTATTTTAATTGACCGTTGCTGCCCATGAGAAGGTAAGTTCCGTGAAAGCAGACGTTTGCCTGCTTCATTCCCTGCGGAATCCCCGGCACCTAAAATGCCGCCTGGCGCTGAACAGGCGCCGTGACAAAACTGCATCACGGAGCGAGAGCATGGGGGGACTCGACGCGGCCCGGCGTGCCGCGCTGCAATGAGGTAAAAGCCATTTTAGGTCACGCACAGGGCTGCTGGCTTTCAAAAAGACAATGAACCATCTGACTTTTCAACAATTTATTTTTGGCTTCCTGATTCTGAGAGAACAAGCTTATGAGGCATCTTAGACAAACAGGTCTAGAGACAAAGAATGTTTTGTGAAGAGTAAATAAAGCAAACACGTATGATTTATATTTCTACAGTGATATTTAACAATGAATGAAAAATACTCCTCAAGCAAAAAGAGTCTTGGCTTTCATCAAACGTAAAATGTTTTGAAAACTAATCTAAGATGTTCACAGAAACAAAAAAAGTCACTATAACTGGAAATATTATTCTCATGATTATGACTGGAAACATCTTACCATCTACGTCTTCTTCCCTGCAATCTAATTATAACAATGTTATGTAATAAAGGGCCAATTCCTTCTGAAGATGTCTTTTTACACCCCATCTGGCAGCTCCCTCGGCCCACTCCTGCCAGTGGGGGATGATGGTCCAGGCAGAGGCCACAAATGGCTCGGCCTTTGTCAAGGATTCATTCTTTTTTTTTTTGAGACAGGATCTCGCTCTGTTGTCCGAGCTAGAGTGTCATGGGGTCAGCCTAGCTCACAGCAACCTCAAACTCCTGGGCTCAAGCCATCCTCCTGCCTCAGCCTCCGGAGTAGCTGGGACTTGAAGTGCGCACCACCATGACCAGCTAATTTTTCTATTTTTTTATAGAGGTTGGGTCTCAGTGTTACCCAGGCTGGTCTTGAACACGTGGCCTCAAGTGATCCTCCAGCCTTAGCTTCTCAAAGTGCTGGGATTATAGGCGTGAGCCACCGCACCCAGCCAAGGATCCATTCGTAACTGACTACTCTTTTAGTTGTTTTCTTCAATCTTCCATAATCATTCCTATTTCCTTTATGCTAAAACCTCCTGCAGTCAGCTGTCTCTGACTTCGCATTCTTTTCCGTCTCCCCAGCAGTGTGGCTGGCACGCTGAGGGGCGCCGTGACTGAGGTACCTGCCTTCATAGGATGGCCCCACCCTCAGAACGTGGCTGAGGCAGAGTGGCCGGAGTAGCAACAAGAACAAACGGGGTCACAAGCACGTCTGCACTTGGGAGCCGCTAGTATTTGTCATTAACATGACCAGGTCTTTCTTCTCCTTTTTTAACACAAAATTAAAAGAAGGTAGTGTCAAAGATACAAAGATACCAGATACTTACGTTCTCGGACAGATTCCAATTTGAAGACATCTGATGGACGATATGACAAAGAGAATCCCAACCCTGCTAATTAACTACTTAGACTGGGTCTCGGCCGAGGCCCAGCTTTCCTGGCTGGCTTTTTTCTTCTCTGTCCTTGCAACCCCCAAAAGCTTAAGGCTGGGAAGGGAGTTGTGGTGCCAGAATCTTCTGAAGTTTGAGCAAAGTGTCATAAGAATGCAGTAGGAGTTGGCGATTTTAAAGAGGGTGTCTATTTAGTGTGACAGGCACAACAATAAAGCTTCAGAAGAAAATACAGGACAACAGCTTGACGATCTTGGAATAAACAAAGATTTCTTACGTAGGATACAAAAAGCACTAACCATTAAAGATTGATGAATTACACAATTAAAATGAAGAACTTTGTTCATCAAAAGAATGAAAATTCAAGCCACACTGGAAGAAGATACTTGCCATACATCTACCTGACAAAAGATTTATAACCTGAATCTACAAAAAACTGTTAAAAGCAATAGGAAAAAGAAAGACAACCTGATTTTTAAAATGAGCAAAAGGTCATGTTCTGTTCACAGTGCCAACCCACCCTAAAAAACAAACCAAAAAATGGCCAAAATCCAAATGTCCAATTACCATATGAAAAGGTGTTCAACCTCATTAGCCAACAGGAAAATGAAAATGAAAACCACAATGAGATACTGCTACACATCTACCCTAATGACCAGGAGTAAAAAGTCTGACATTGGTGAGAACGGAGAGAAATAAATCTCTCATAAATTGCTGGTGGGATGTAAATCATACACCTGCTTCAGCAATCTGTTTGATGCTCTCTACTACACTTGAATACATGCATAGCCTATGGCCCAGTAATTCCATTCCTAAGTATGTTCTCGTTCTTAGCAGGAATGAGAACACATGTGTTCCAAGAGACATGTATAAGAACATACCAGCACTATTTATAATAGCCCCAAACTGGAAATTACTCAACTGTCCATCAATAATAGAACAGATAAGTAAATGACAGTATAATCATACAATGAGTTACTAAACAGTGAAGAAAATGAATAAATTACAGCTATATGCAATAACATGGTTAAATCTTACTAACTTAATACTGTGTAAAAAAGCCAGGAGCAAATATTACATAGTTTTTTCTTTCATTTATAATAAAATTCAAATGCAAGCAAAACTAACCTAGTATTCAAAGGTGCACTTTTGTAGAAAACTGTAAGGAAAGGAATCGAGGACAATGGTTATCTTAGAGAGTCATGAGGGGTTATGATTGCAAAATCATACGGAAGGTTTGTGGGAGCTAGAATGTTCCACTTCTGGATGGGAGAAGTGACTACATGAGTTTTCACTTCATAATAATTCACAAAACTATTATTTATATTTTGTGGACTTTTATCTTTGTGTATAATTTTTCACAATAAAAAAGCTTAAACTCATATCAGGTATTACTTCCTTGTCTGGCCTTCACAGAAAACAAATACTCTCCTAATAAACCAAAATTCTTAAGCCAAATGCAAACAACTCTTAAAGATTCTGGGGGCCCACCTATGGGGGTCCTTTATGTGAATTAGGCGAAGGCACCCTCTCTGGGAGGATGATTTATTAAAGCCAAAGCTATCTCCTCGGGTGGAGGCAGCCTGTTGGGCATACTGTCCTGGGAGTTTATGTCTCCTTTGAGCAAAGAAAAAGGTCCCCTCCCTGCAGGAGATGCAACTCTGCACGCAGGTAAGTTTATTGGATGGAGTGCAGACTGGCCTTCGGTTATACTTGCTTCCCCATCTGGGTGCTTTTGTACAGTACACAAATATCAAACACGCCCTGGCAGCCCTGCCTCGGAGAATAGAAAGGTGACAATTACACATATATGGGTACACCAAACACGCAACACATGCTGGCACAGGACTACTATCGTCCATTTTCCCTTACCGCATAACCTTCTGTCTTCTTCTGGCACCATTTCAGCAGAGCATTGCGCTTGGAGCCACCATATTCACGGGCCAAGGCTGCCAGAGGGTCTCTTCTTTCCACACTGGTTAGAAAGCAGAGAAAGAATAACGAGAAGTTGGTAATTTTTAGGACCCTCAAATATACAAGAAATAAATTACTAGATTAGAAAAGCCTAGTTTCTTCAGCAAGACTCTAAAGAAACAATCAAATTAGTCACATTAATAATACATTTTTATGATGTCTCACCGAATGAAAGAAAAATTAAATTGTGCTTCCTGACTATCGTAAGTCTGGGAGAATTTTGTTTTAAAATCCATCTGTTGCTCACTCATCTAACCTTTTATTTCTTTACTTAGTACGTCAGTTCAATTAAAGATACTTATAACAAAACACTCTACGTGTTTCAAGGGTACACCTCTATCCAAATAACATATAGAAGGTAGAGCAGAGCTGGGTGCAGTAGCGTGCGCCTGCAATCCCAGCTACCTGGGAGGCTGACGCAGGAGGATTGCTCAAGCCCAGGAGCTCAGGCTGCAGTGAGCTATGATCAGGCCACTGCACTCCAGCCTGGGTGACAGAGTGAGACTCTGTCTCTTAAAAAAAACAAACAACACCCTCCCCCACAAAACATGAAAACACACAGTATGTTTCCATGAATACAAAATCTAAAACATGCAATTTATTTATTTTTTTTTTTTTGAGGCAGAGTCTCACTCTGTTGCCTAGGCTAGAGTGCCGTGGCGTCAGCTTAGCTCGCAGCAACCTCAAACTCCTGGGCTCAAACCTCAAACTCCTGGGCTCAAGCGATCCTCCTGCCTCAGCCTCCCGAGTAGCTGGGACTACAGGCATGCGCCACCATGCCCGGCTAATTTTTTCTATATATTTTTAGTTGTCCAATTAATTTCTTTCTATTTTTAGTAGAGACGGGGTCTCACTCTTGCTCAGGCTGGTCTCGAACTCCTGAGCTCAAACAATCCACTCACCTCGGCCTCCCAGAATGCTAGGATTACAGGCATGAGCCACCGCGCCCGGCCAAAAACATGCGATTTAAATAACATTGTTTGGGGATGTCAACATACGTGGCAAAAGAACTAAGAATAACAGAAAAAGACAAATATTAAACTTGGAGTGGTGCTTACCTTGGAGGGGGGAGCAAGACAATGCAAGTGGACAGGGGCTGATGGAAAATTTCAAAGGTAACAATTTTCTTTTCCTTACGCTGGGAGGTGGGTTATCTGGGTGGATCTCCAGGTATGTTATTCTTTATACCTAGCACATATTCTTTTGTATCCATCTAGTATTTAATAAAAATATTCTAAAATGATTTTAAAAAGAGTAATAGCGTGACTTTAGACCTCAGCGATACAAACTAAGGTAGAGAAGTTAAAAAAAACAGTTCATACTTGAATTAAAATTTTTTTTGTATAATTTGATGACTGCTTCTCTATGCATCTAGCAGATTTGTAAAGTCAAGTCCATGAGCTTTTCGGTCAGAGGTGCTGTTAACTACAAAGTCATGGTAACTTTGCCTGTGTTTACCATGCCTGGTCTCACGTCATCCCTTAGAACTGAATTGCTACCCCTGACGAAGTATAGAAGACTGAAATGAAAGTTTGGAAAAGAGTTTCTGTACAAATGGATGGCTAAGACGTTCACCAACATTTTTCTTTAAAAAATAAAGCTAACTGAATATGGTTGCCAACAAATTTAATAATAATAGAACGAGAACTTCTAAAGTAAAGTTCTATCCTGCCAATGGTTTGCCTCCACGACATGAATGTAAAATTGAAATAAGAAATTAATTTTACTAACTTAACCTTTCACAATGAAAGGTAAAATATCAATAGCATATTAACATATGCATAGCCTTTCTGTGTGCGTTTCTGGCATAAAGAAAAGGGCGATTTCAGAATAACACTAATTCTGGTCCTTAAAGCCTCTTTTGTTTATTTAAATCTCTTGCACGTAAACAGGTTAATATGTAATATCTGTGGCTTTAAAGTAAACCTCTGAAACACATGACTTCATCTATTTGGGTTCAAATATAGGCTACACCCAAAGATACAACAAGACCTGAACTTATTCAGACTTTCATAAATCCTTTTATAATACCCACATTGGTAATTATAATATTTCTTAAAAACCTGTTACTCGTAAAGTAGTCAATTTTGTATATTGATTGATCTACCCATTCACAAGTATTCACAGAGTGAAATGTCATATGTGTGGCACAACATAAGGGGCTGGGAAAGATGCCAAAATGTAATTCGAAAACATTTACTGTCCACTGAATTTTAGCCTAAATGGGGACAAAGACATATACCGTACAATAGTTATCCACACGGCAAACTAGTACAGTAATTAAACACCCAAAGGAATGTAATACACCAAAGTTAGAGGAGGGAGATGCCAAGGCTGCCAGGGTGGTTGCTGCTCAACTTCACGGCAGGTCTGACCCAAGGGAGAAGCAGTGTTTCGGACTGTGAAAGGGCAAGAGGAAGGCAAGTCAGGCCAGAACTGTATAAACACAGCCTTGCAGTCAGAAATGCTCGTGCGATACTGCAAAGGCAGGGAGCAAAACAGGCTCAGGTGGAGGGAGGGCAGGGACATTCTGGCAGGTGACTGGGGGTGGAGGGGTGGCACTAAGTCTTGGAACATTTAGAAGACCAGGACGAGGAGTGTGGACGACAGAGAGTCATGGGAGGTTTCTGCAAAGTCTGTGGCAGGATGCGCTCAGTGCTTCAGAAGAGTAACCAACGTGAGGAAGCAGGGAAGACTCAGAAGAGAGAGGAAGCAGCTAAAAGGGGCTTGCTGTGGCTTGGGTGACAGGGCCATTGAAAATGGAGGAGGTGGCAGAGGTGTGGGAGCACAGAGAGGCTCCTGGTGACCACCCCATCAGCCTGCTGTCCTCTCCTTACCCCACCCCTCCTTCACATCCCTGAGAAAGTCCTCCTTAAATACTGATTTTAAAATGCCCCTCTGTCTTATATGCCACTGTTTTCTGATTAATCCTCCTTTAAGTAAAGGTTCGATCTCACTGTACTACTGCTCAAAAACAAAAATAAAATCCCACAAACTTAGTGGTTCCCCAGTACTGTACCAAAATAAGTACACATCTCTTTGATAGTGATGAAGACTATTTGCAATAAGGCCCCAACCTGCCTTTCCAGCTGTAATATCCTAGTCATCCACCCATCCACCCAACAAACACTGATGGAGACCTACCATATGCATGGCCGGGCCCCTGCCCTCAGGAAGGCCACAGCCTGGTCCAGACACACAAAAATGGCCGCTGCTCCCTGAACACCATTCCACGGCTTGTTCCCGGTGGTGCCTTTGCACCCCTGGAGGAACTGCCACTTCTCTCTAGACCTCTTGATCCAGCTACAACCCCAAGTGCTTTGCTTACGCAGCATGTTTTCCATAGCCCTTCGTTTCATTTTGCACACCACTGCTGTCTAGGGCCTCCTTCTGGACCCATTCAGGGCAGGCGCTGCATCTTAATCACGTTCATTCAGGAAACATTTGTAGAAGTAAATCGACCATAGGGGTTAAAACAGAAGGAAGAATAAAAGGTTATCAGTCCAATGTTCCTCTGATTTCTTACTGTTTAAAACACGATACCTGAGTTTACTCTGTGGCTTCAGCCCCCCGGTGGAGGCGCTCAGCAGTCTTGTGTTCCCAAAGCCCAGAGAGGGGGGTCTGCTCAGAGACTCGAGTGAGGGGCTCTTTCGGAGGTAAGGGTCTGGCTTCAGGTCCTCAGCCCTTCCTTTTAGAAGATCTGTGTGAACAACAACATAATCACCTATTCCCGAAGAAGAGCAATTTGGTCATTGTGCTTTACTCTCGAGTACAACGCAGTTCTCATCCTAGTCTCCAGTGCAGATGTATGTATATCGCACACACACATGCGCTTCCTAAAGTAGTAACAATACAAATACAGACGTGGTGTTTTCTAGAGAAGATTCTCTAGGCAGCCCCAACTACACCACTTACAGGACCTCATGTCAAATCTCAGCCCCTTTTTCAAAACTTAGGATGAATTTCAAGACAGCGTCACTGGAGCATTAAACCTAGGATGGGCCCTTCTAAGGCCTCATGCAAGTGCTCACAAAGCCAGCCCCGCCCCCAGGTAGTGCATTTTGTGTTAATCGATGGACATTTGAAAGAGCTGGCAGGAAAACGCCTGGCGTGAGTGACAGGTCACAGGCAGCAACAGATGAAAGGGTGGGAACCAAGAATGGCTATTTCACAACCACGGGGCCTGGCTCACTGCAAAATAAGTAGGAATCATTCTGCTAAGGCTCCTTTCTGCTGTCATGTTAGTCTGAGTCAAAACAGGTAACAAAATGGGCTGGATCCTCCAGAAGCTATTTCTTTCTTTCCTTTTCTGTTTTGAGAGACAGTCTCACTCCGCTGCCCAGGCTGGATGCGGATTCGACCTCCCGGGCTCCAGCGATCCCCTGCCTCAGCCTCTCGAGCAGCGCCATGCCCAGCCAGATGATGTTTCTTAAATGACCATAAAAGTGTAGAACAAGAGAAAATTTTCAAGATTGTCTAGTTTATATTTATAGAGGAAACTGGAGCTGGGAGAACTAAGTGCCTTGTTCAAAGCTTACAACAGCCAGGGGCCGGCCAAGCCCACAGCTGCCCCCTCTGACCCAGAGTCAGGGAAGAAAACAATACTCCACAGTGATAGCCGCCAATTACGGGCGGTAAAGTGGGGAGTGAGGCTAATTAGCTCTAAACAACAGAGAAAAACAGTGTTTGCGGCACTAAAGAGAACAACAAAAACAGCACATTCACCCTGATTCTGTAGCTTCTGATGACCTCAATGTTGACAAGCAATTGCTGGAAGTTGCTGGAAGCAAGCAGTTTTCACCTGTAATCCTCTTTTTTTTTTTATTATAGTAAACAGAATCACTCAAGCAGATGGGTGCCCAGTGGGGGTGAGGGGAGGGCTGTCAATGAGGTATTTACTTCAGAGCAATGGCTGCTGTGGTCTCGCTTCAGTATTTATCTTGTCAATTAAAAGAATGGTCTTTCTACACAATAGCTGGTGGGACAGAGAAGACAACACAAATATGATCAAAAGCTCACCTAGTCCACTTATAAATGGTTAAGATGGTAAATTTTATGTTAGGTGTCTTTTACCACAATTTAAACGAAAAAAGCTCACCTAGCACTATGCACATAATCCAGTTATTCCCTGTACTATTACATGATGTAGCGAGTCTGGAGAACGCAGAGCAGGCAGGTTTTCCAGGCTCTGTTTTGGCTGCCCTGTTTCTGGGTCTGAGCTTCACCTAACCTTTTGTCTGTTTTTTTCTCCTGACTTTGGACCACCCAATGGTCTTGGTCATCATTCCCTTCTCCTGGGAGCCATTATTAGGACCTGAAGTCCTATTAACACATAAACTTTTATCACTTCTTCAATCGCCAGCTGCATCACCAAAAGGCAACATGGCAGAAGGAGCCAGAGGTCCTGGCCCCAGTCACTTAACCCCTGTAAGGCCCGAAATCTCTCACATGTAAAATTCGAGGAATGGGCCAAAATCATCTCTAAATTTCTCAATGTCAGTATTTACCTAAGTCTAAAATCCTTATTTAACGCCATGAAAATGCAAACAAGATTTGCAAGGAAATCTTGCCTCATTAGAAACAACTATTTTAAGAACAAGCCTGACCGTGTTTGACCGTCATCTAAAAGAAGTACAGTTGGATTTTCTTCGTATCCATATAAAAAATGTAGAATTTTTTTTTTTTTTTTGGAGATAGGGTCAGAAATTTTGTTTTATACTTAGAACAAAAGGATTTCTGTCCATGTGATCTAGATTTTGGGCTTTCTCTCCCTCCTACAGGCACCAGTAAATAGTTCACTCAATGTTGCTTTTGCCGTTTTTGTTCTCTAACAGTGACCACACAGACACACACATCGTTCCCACGACACATACTCTGGACAACTTTAATGTTCTACTAGGCTGAAAGTGCCACTGTTCTCTTTGTTCTGCAGAGAGTAGGTAAGACAACCGCAGCAAACTCTTCTCCAGTGCTCAGCGCACACCCGGCCATGTTCTAAGTGCTTTAAATGTGTTAACTGAATCCTTGAAACGATCCTATGAGTCAGGTCGGATTATTCCTATTTTAGAGATGGGGAAACCAAAGCCCAGAGAGGTGGAGTAATGTGAGTGGCAGTGTCAAGACTCAAGACAAGAGGACCTGCTCCTGCATCCCCCTTTTAATTGTCAGCTATCAGCGTGGAAGGTACAGCACGAAACCAAACATGATGAGTGAGGATTGCTGACTACAACCACGACTTTATGAGCAGGATTTGAATTTTTTAAAAAATATTTTATGGGCAGGGAGTGGTGGCTCACACCTGTAATCCGGGCATCTTGAGAGGCCAAGGCAGAAGGATCGCTTGAGCCCAGGAGTTCAAGACCAGCCTGGGCAACACAGGGAGATCCCATCTCTACAAAAAATTTAAAAATTAGCCAGCCATGGTGGCATGTGCCTGTAGTCCCAGCTACTCAGGAGGCTAAAGGAAGGAGGATCGCTTGAGCCCAGGAATTTGAGGTTACAGTGAGCTATGATCACCTCAATGCAGTCTAGCCTGAGTGACAGAGTAAGACTCTGTCTCAAGAAGAAAAAAATGGTATAACAAGAGGAAGATTTCAGTCAAAGAAAAAGGTACCTTAAAAAAGGCATATTTTAAGAACTGTGGAAGCAGCAGACAAATTCAAAATCAGATAAGATTTTGTTCCCCTAAATAGTTATTTTTTAAAGATTAGAAAATATTCTCTTGCGATTCAATTTTAAAAAACAACAAAGTTTGGCCTTTCTCTCTAGTGCTTAGCACACTGATAAGTGCAGCTAGCAGGAGATGCTTTTTCCTTTTGTTGGGGACACTGCTAAATCGCGCATTTAGGGGTTGAAATCTCTTGATTTAATGTCACTGATTATTTTTCTAAGCTCAGTTTCATGCAAAGAAATGAAAAGTTAACTCCACACACACACACACACACACACACACACACACACACACACACACACACACACATTAAGTCATAAGCATTTCCTGTTCGAGGCAGTTTACCTGAGAGGGCAAGGTCAGGCAGATCCAAGCGCTGAGTGATTCCTTTGCTGGCCGGCCGTGCACTGCTGTAAGTCGAATGTCTCTGTAAAAAGCAAAGTGCACGCCAGCCTGGTGAGCTTGTGACGCCGAGAACGGCATAAACACAGGTGTGCATGCACGTGTGTGTGTGCACGTGCAACAGTTCTTAAGCACAGCACAATCACCGGCGGGGCTTTTAAATTATTTATTTGAATAGGTAATAAAAAGGGCAAGTAGAAAAGAAAGTCTCTCTTTCCTCCCCACTTCTTCCCCCTAAGGGTGACCATTATTAATCAGCTTTGTGGATCTCCTTCCTGTAATATTCTACATATGCTCAAGGATGTGTTTAAAACACTTTTTTAAATGGCCAACAGGTAGATGAGAAGACGGTCAACATCACGAATCAACAGGAAAATGCAAGCCAAAACCACAATGCGAGACCACCTCATACTTGTCAGGAAGGCCATTGCCAAAAACAGAAAACAACAAAGGCTGGCAAGGAGGAGGAGAAATTGAAATCCTTGTACACTGCCGATGGGAATGTACAATGGTGCAGCCATTACGGAAAACATACGGAAGTTCCTCAAAAAGTTAAAACTAGAACTACCATATGATCCAGCAATCCCACTTCTAGGTATTTATCCAAAAAAACTGAAAACAGGATCTCAAAGAGATATTTGCACTCTCATGTTCATTGCAGCATTATTCATAAAAACCAAGAGGTGGGCCGGGCGCGGTGGCTCACGCCTGTAATCCTAGCTCTCTGGGAGGCCGAGGCGGGCGGATTATTTGAGCTCAGGAGGTCGAGACCAGCCTGAGCAAGAGCGA